AGAAAAGACGAAGGTGATCCAGTAAAGAGAGCCTGGCATCTAGAAGTTGAAGGTAGAAGAGTAAGGGGGCGGCCAAAGGTGGGAAAAATATGGTGAAGAAAGAAAGTGCTAAAATTGGTTTGGAGGAGTATGATGCACAAGACAGGAAGAAGTGGAAAGATGGTGTAGCTGCATGGAACGAGTGACAGTCAGTAACCCCTTGGAAGAGGGAAGAAAACTGACTTAAATAAATGATGATGATGATGAAGCATTAACCCATCCTATTTTACATTCACCAATAAAATTTTATTTCTATTTTCTCCTCCGATCTGGATGTTCTTGGCAAACTATTTGCTAACTAAGAAAACAAAATTTTATTTTTATTCTGCCCTCCTCCGATGATCTTTAAAAAATTACGTAATAAAAAAAGTCTTGCCAACAGAAGTTATATGCGATCTGAATAAAATTTAAAATTATAAACAAATCGTTGCACCGGACAAAAACTTGTCCGGTGCAACAATATAGGTACACACCCACACCATCTCTTATTTGATTGGTTCGATCTTCATTACTGCATGACTTGAGGTCAGTCAAGTACACAAAAAAAGGCATGTGTGGATAAACGGAGGTCAGAATGGTTTCTAAAACAACGATCACAACTCCTCTGCAATTGTATAAATTTTTGATGAGAGAATGTAATAAGTTGCCGAAAGAGGCCCAGAACCACTATAAGCACGCTATAAGACAGGTTGGTTGCTAGTACGTCAAGGGAAAAAGCTCAAAATAACTAGTAGCCTAGCTAGGGAGGCCTAGGCCTACTAGGCCTAGTCCAGATAAATCAGTTTATCAGCCGAGACGGATGTCTGTGGTTGCTGGCCTATTTGGTTTTACTTAGTTTGCTTTTGAGAGAGCTAGGCCTAGGCCCCTAACCCATTTTGAAAGTCTGCTTTGACTTGTGTTTTACACCGTGTACACTATAACAACATCATGTTGCAAGAATATAAATGTTAACCACAAGCATTAAATAATTAAGAAGAGCACTAATTTTGTGCAAATTTCGCAATGTACAAAGGCCTAGTCATCATAATTCCACAGGCCCATGGGCCTGATTTTTGGTACAAAATTGCAGGGGATTCCCCATCCATCCCCTATTTTCATTCTGGTGGTGGTATGTATGAATATATATTGCGTGCAGGTGCCAGGATTTGCCCGACAGGACCTAAACTGGCCGACAGGGGGTCTGAGAACTTTTAACAGCAAACAGGGTTGTGGGAGCCTGTGGTATGGAGCCCAGTTCCCTCACGCCTAAAACAGCTGTGCAAACTTCAGCACATAATTTATGCTCAATTTTTTTAAAGGAAATTTTTTTTATTTTTTCCCCGCTTTTGATCCGATGAGTTGTGTCTGACAGGGTCTTGAAAACCTCTCCCCTAGCATTTACACAGCTAGTATGGCACAGGTGCCAAAAAAAATTTTAGAAGAATGTAAATTAAATTCAAGATCTTGCTACTTACATTCAAAGCAACCTATCTACATTCATCAGCCCAAATGTTCCTGGACACACCCGTAGATTATCTGATAATTTTTGGCTCTCCATTCCATGCACATCCTTAAAAACTATTGGCCGTAAATTGTTTTCTTTTGCTGCACCTACACTTTGGAATTCACTCCCTGCAGACATTAAAAACTGTTCTTCTGTTGCTTTATTTTAAAAATTACTTAAAACTCACCTTTTCCATCACTAACCACAATGC